AGAACTCAGAGATGAAGTTACTCCGTTACACAAAGGATTCAGCAGTCTTTTCCTCAAGGCCTTAGTTTGTGGCATAACTCCATTTTATTTAGTTTTAACCAGGAAACACTAAATGTTCTTAAACTTTTCTTGACTAATGGGTTTGATACACTTAAATATTTTCTTTATCAAAATTTTCCAAGGTGGATAATTGCTCTAAGGATTGTTAACATTATAACAGGAGATTAAGGAGACTAGCTGGTAGATCCCAAACACTTGTAACCCTTAGCAAAATTCGGCATGCTTGGTGATCTTTACCAACATCACATCAAGTATGCATGCATCTAGGTGGAAAATTTCTTGGGAAGATGAATGTCAACATTTAACCTTTCAAATGTGTGGCAGGATTCTCAGGTGGATTTGCTCTACAGAATAGGTAGATGAATAATATATACAGTGATTGCCAGAGTGGACAAAAGCCTGGAAAGACTTGTTGAATGTAGTTTATGATGTTAGAAAAGTGAATTTCCCTGGACATTTGTGCATCCTCTAGCTTTTAGATGTTCAATTTTATTGTAAAAGAACAGATTACAGGAGATAATTCAAGAGTTGTGGTCATCTACTCATTTTAAGAGACAGGTCATACTAACTCTCACCTGGCTTACTTCATCTATTTAGGATAGGGCTAGCTGTAATAATTGACAATAGTAGATGAGTTAGCCAAGAGACTAAATACAGGTGAAAAGATGACAGTGCTAGATCTTGACACGAATTACCTTAATGGCTGTGCAAATAGTAAGCTGGATAAGATTTGTTGAAAACAAACCAAGCTAAACAATCCATTGAAGTGCTCTCTTCCATCTATACCCAGAAACAGCAATTTAGCTTTTGGGAGACGTGGTAAAATAGTAGCTTGGACTAGTGCCCAGAACTCTCCAAGATAATGTAAAAGGAGAGTGTGTGTCTTGGACCAGAGCCATTTCCCTAGAAGATGCAAAGCCAGGCAGGGAGTCTTGGAAGGGTCCTTCCTTATTAAATAGAATTCTCCTCTGTATATGTCTTAGCAACCGCTGGTCTTCAAGCAGAAAGTGGATTCTAAGCTCTTCACCCTGAATAAGGTTTAATGGAGCTGCTCCAGAGCACAAGCATAATGTGGCATCTTAGATTCCCATGACTGCTACTTTCCCTCTCTCTAGTTTGGTGTCCCACCCCCCTCAGCGCCCCTTCATTTTTGGACTTGGATAAAACACTGCTTTCCAGGGGTAAGATCTGGAGTCTTGAGACTCCTGAGGAGCTGATGGTGCAACCAAGAAGAGAGTGGATGTTCACTCCCCACAGGGTGAGCCTTGACCATTAGGAAATGGGAGATGAGAGAGAGCTGGGCAGATAGACTTCTTCATTCTTTCTTCCACAGACTACTCTGAAATGCAGTTCCTCTGCACAGCACTTCTCGAGAAGTCCCATGTACCATGCACGCATGCCTGTTGAGTGACCTGCTGGATCTCTTTCTTGGTCATGGGGATGGTGGCGGTGGAAGAGAGGGGGTAGCAAAGTGTACCATACTGCAATGCAACTGTGCCTTAATTCATTTTCTTTTCTTTCTCTTGCTGCCCTGAGATTACATCTCCCCCAAATAGTGTTGGCACCTTAAATCTTTGTCTCAGCCTCTACTTTCTAGATTACCTAGGCTGTTAGACACCAGACTAATCATTAAATATTTGACCAGCTCATTAATGGATTGGCCTAATCAATATGTGATACTATCCTTCCTAAGATCCGAATGAAAACTGATTTAAGTCATTTTCATATTTATGGTTTAGATTTGCACAGTCAATATCAGCCCTTCTTAACCAGCATTCTGGTTAACTAAGCCCTAACATCCCAAGGCACCTATTGTATATAAGGAATTAATTTCTTTTCTGTGCATATAGAATGTATCAGCCCTGAGATAATTGAGAAAACAGTTACTCAAATCATTCTTTGTAGGCTTTAATTCTTTTGAGGAATCCTGGTTGTCAAGAGCTGGTCTAAATATTTTCCTGAGATTGTTTTTATTCACATTGTTACTAGACAAGAAATGTATATTTAACTTATTTATAAGTTTTTCAACTCTAGTCTTTGTTTGGCTTAAGTAACAAAGGAAATGAATTACATGATTATCTTTTATGCAATAAATATCTGAATACCAACTAAGACTAGGTCCTAGGGAAACTGGAGATGGCTGAGGCTTGTAATCTGTCCTCCTGGAGCTCAGAGTCTAGTGGGAAATAATACAGACAAATATCACACTATGTATACTGTAACAGAGGTATGTAGAAAGTAACATAAGGACTGAGGAGACAGATAATATTCTCTTTTCAAGTCACACATAGCATATGCAACTTTACTGTATCTTAGAAAACATAACTAAATCAACCAAATAAATGTAAAATAAATATCAAAATAAAATGAAATATTAAAATGAAATAAGCTTAGAAAACATAACTGAGATAAACCACCTATAAGAAAACTATGATGAAATATTCTCGATCATTTGTATTACAACAATTTTTCTGGGTTCTCCAAAAAAGGAAAAAACCCTTAGTTCTACATGACATCAAATAGGAAAAAAACCTGAAACTTGCTGAAACGTTCAGTCTTGAGTCCACCCAGCTAGGTTACTAATAACCAAGTTTTTGCTCAGTGTATTATTTTTTTTACACTTCTCATAAAAAGAAAGGTGGACTATCAAAAGTTCTACGTAATGATTTTTTGTATTGTTATAAACAAATAATGCATGGGAATTTCTGTGATAGCCTGCATTCAAGTGATTCCTGATAGTGTGTTTTACAGCACTGGAAGGCTAGAAGGTTGGTACCAGTCTAAAGGGTATCTACCATTTGTCAAAGAAGCAAGTCTTCAAAAATTTTGATAAGTGAGGGTCCATTTAAACTCTGCTCTCATATGTATATCTATGAAAATCACTCTGCTAGTTCTAGGGTAGCAGTCTATCACTAACATTTACAATTCTGGAAAATAATCCAAAGCATTAAAAAGTATGTAAGTGCTCTAATTGAATCCCTTAAGGGGACTTGGTCTGGGATAATGGCCTTGTTAACCTGGAGGCCCTCAAAGAAAGGTGGATTTAGTTGTAAAAAAAAAAAAAGTGCTGTTTTTTGTTTTTTGTTTTTTTTTAAAGAAAACAGTAAAGACTAATTTTGGATAATTTTTCAGATGACAGAGATTAGAAGTCTGACATTTACAAATTAAAGTTATATTGCAAAGGTAATGAGAGTAAATGTTTTAATTTCACATGTGATGAAAAGCTTTTTAGAATTAAGAGAAGAAAATAGGGACAGATTTTAATACTGGGACACAATTTCATTCTTGGATTTTAAAATGAAAACATTAAGATTTTATCATAAGCTTTGCTGAAAATCTGCCAGAAGCACTATTTTTTTTTTAAATGCCCTAGAAGAGGGGATAGAAATCAAAACTCTTTAGTTTGAATTCTAGTTTGAAACTCATCCTTCTAAAATTCTCTAGCAAGCCATCTAGGAGACAACTATTTAGAGAGTTATCTGGATTGTCTGTGTGGAGTCAAAGCTTCTGTTCTTTGGGCTGCATGATTTGCCTTTCTAGTCAGCCTTGCCCTTGAATCAATAAGAGTTCACAGAATGAAATGTTCAGGGCTCTCTTGGTCATGAGCCAAGGATAGCTGTGCTGGCAAAGCAAAACAAATCCTCAAAAAGAATGCATAAACAAAAATCATCTGACTAATGCCTGGTACAAAATGATGACTGGCATTTGTACTTTTGGTGGAAGTTTGTGCAAAGGAGCAAAATGATTTAGCTTTTGTTACCCATTTTTTCCATTGAGCAATCTGGAGGAGTATCATTAATTTGGAATTCAGGTCTGAGATGGGGTTAGGCTGTCTTTTGCAAGTAATGTTTTCCCTGGTGTAGCTTTATCTTCCTTTGTTTGCTTCTGTTTGAGATTATTAGGAAAGCATTCCTTGTTCAGCAAAAACAGGGTCCTGCCTAGACCTCCTGATTTTTTTTAAGGTTTATTAATTTATTAATTTTTTATTTGTATACATTTATGGGGTGCAAGAATAATTTTGTTTCATGTGTAGATTGCGCAGTGGTAAAGTCAGGGCTTTTAGGGTATCCATCACCCAAATAATGTACGTTGTACCCATCAAGTAATTTCTCATTATCTCCCTTCCTGCCCCCTCACCCTTCTAAGTCTCCATTGTCCTAAGTCCACACTCTATATCCATGCATACACATCATTTAGCTTCTGCTTACAAGTGAGAACATGTGCTATTTGTCTTTCTTCATCTGACTTGCTTAACTTCAGATAATGGCCCCCAGTTGCATTCATATTACAGCAAAAGACATGATTTTGATCTTTTTTATGGCTGAATAGTACTCCGTTGTGTATATATACCACATTTTCTTTACCCAATCATCTGTTGATGGCACTTAAGCTTGATTCCATATCTTTGCTATTGTGAATAGTGCTGCAATAGACATACGAGTGCAGGTATCTTTTTGATATAATGATTTCTTTTCCTTTGGGTAGATACCTAGTAGTGGGATTGCTGGATTGCATAGTAGTTCTATTTTTAGTTTTTTTGATGAATCTCCATACTGTTTTCCATAGAAGTTATACTAATTTACATTCCTACTAACGGTATATTTTGTTTTCTCCACATCTTTGCCAACTTCTGTTATTTTTTGTCCTTTTAATAATAGCTATTCTGACTGTTGTAAGAGATCTCATTGTGGTTTCAATTTGCATTTTTCTGATGATTAATGATGAGCTTTTTTTTTTCAGAAGCCTGTTGGCCATATGTATGTCTTCTTTTGAAAAATATCTATTCATGTCCTTTGCCCAATTTTTAATGGAATTATATGTGAGGTTTTTTGTTGAGATGTTTGAGTTTTGTAAATTCTGGATATTAGTCTTCTGTTGGATGCAGAATTTGCAAATATTTTCTCTCATTCTGCAGGTTGCTCACTCTGCTGATTATTTCTTTGGCTGTGCAGAAACTTTTTAACTTAAGTAAGTCTCAACTGTGTATTTTAATTTTTGTTGCCTGTGCTTCTGAGACTTTAATCATTAATTCTTTGCCTAGACCAATGTCTGGAAGAATTTTCCCTAGGTTTTCTTCTAGTATTTTTATAGTTTAAGGTCTTACAGTTAAGTCTTTAATCCATCTTGAGTTGATTTTTCTTTCTGATTTCTTATCCCTGTGAACTGACTAAAGCCATGGAACACCTCTAGGCCCTCAGTGGAAGTTGAGAACAAACAGCAGGCATAGGAAATGAATGGTATTCAGGGAGCAAACTTTTGACTAATATTGACTCATCTATGTTTAATAGTCATATCAATTGCATTTTAATGAGCATGTACTATGTGATAGGTGCTATTATAGTTGCTTCAAAAGAACAACTTAAATTATATTGAGCCCTCCTGTATGCTATGTACTGTTCCAAGTACCTAACATTTAATAACTCCTATAAGCTTCATAACTCTCTGAAATAGGTAATATTATTACTCCCATTAAAGAGTGTAGTCTTCATGGGGACAGGGACGTTACTGCACTTACAGCACTCGACATATATAAACTAAATGACCCTGTTATACAGTTGTGGAAACTGAGAGGCCAAGTGTATTGCTCTGGCCCAGGGCTTCTCAACCTCAGCATTAAGAACATTAGTTTTTAAGAACTAAGGACTAAGTCTGGTGAATAGAACCCTCACGGTGATAGGGATGAGGTTACACATGAGCTTAACATTAAGAACTCCCACTTACCACAGCAGATCTACACTGCCACAGCACATGTTCAACTGCCAGAAACAAAGACTATCACTTGAGAAGACCAACCAGTCTCTTGGTAGCACATGGACTTTTCCTACCCTAAAGGGGCAGTGTTTATTTTGACAGATATCCACACTTAATCCAAGAATGAGTTTGCCTTATCCGCCTTCAGGGCTTCAGCTAGCACATTTTCTTGAGATTTCTTTGAGATGTTTGAAGCAGCATAAGGCTGAGCAGGGGTAAGAACCATGGGGAATATCTACCTTTTGACTTACATATGAATGTCAAGGATTTGTTATTCCCTCAGGAGAACACAAGTATCCGTTTAAATTTCTATCATGGGCTGAGATAATTGGATAAAATGTCATGGGCCACTAGTTATATTTAAGTTAGCAAACACACTCTGCAACACACAACAAACATTGGTGGTAGTGATTGTTACTAACTAAAGTTGGAAAGAAAGGAGGAAGAACAGGTTTCAAAGAAAAAGTTCTTTCAAAATTTGAAGGCTTCTCCATGTCATAGCTGTAGGAAGGAATAGGGAAATGTGGGAAAAGCAGATTGCATTAGGAAGTCGAGGACTGGAGAAGAGGGAAAAGTGGAGTCTGAGCTACGAAGCCAATCTCTTGGGAGTCTCTAGCTCATATTCAATTTTCTGTTTCAAGGTTTGAATGGGGATCGTGATCTTTGGGGACCCTGCTCCAGATGGACATGCAAGGAACATGAAGTAGTAACAAAGGATAGTGTGTTTGGGTAGTGGAGAGGCTAAAGGCCTGAGAGTGTGTTTGGGGAGGACATTTTATATAAAATGTATGTTTTCTAGGAAGAAGGGGCATAGTTTTTATCTATTTATTGAAGCTTTCTTAAGCAGTTTTTCTCTATTAAAAGCCATTGGCCTGAACAATGAGAATCAGGATTATTCTGGGCATAAAGAATCCTTCATGATTTGTTTTTAGTTTGCTTTTCCAGCATTTACCCATTCCTCTTGCTACTGTTTGCTGGTGATAATGACCTACTCATCATTTTCCCACTGTTTTCTCCTCCCCTCGCTTCCATGAGACCATTCTTGTCTGGAATGCCTTTCTCTCCTATGCCCTTCAGAGAGTATCTCCTCATCTTTCAGAGAGCCAGATGCGCTGTCATTTTTTTCCAGATGGCCTTCTTCAGTGCCCAGAGAATGCTGGCTGGTCCTCCTTGGTACCCACCTCTGTTGTATGCCTGATAAAGAGGCGTTCACTTGATTTGTTACAGGCCTGTTTCCTTCACAGGTAAGTTTCTTACGCTGGGGGCTGCCTTATTTTCTTTCTATGTTTTAGTGCTTGGCAGATAGCAGGTGACATAATAAACACTTACTGAGAGTGTGAATTTAGAAATGAGTCACTCTGGAGGTGGCTGATCAGGTGTCTTCAGTGTAACTTACAAATAAGAAAAACATTTTTGGAAGTGTAGTAGAAGTTTGAGTTTGTGCAGGGAAGAGGTATAATAAGTATATGTAAGATAAGTGTTATATAACATGATAGGAAATATTTTACAGGGAATCTAAGACCAAGATAGAAACCCATCTGTCCCTGCTGACAGAGATGTAGTCTGGCTCATGTTTTCTTTTCTATGATTTTGTAATTTAGGATTTAAATCCCATAAAGTGAACAGCTGACAAACTAGACAAATGTCAGAATACAGATAATAAGCAAAAAATCCAAACACTTTCTTTATTTTGCCTTCTCTCCATTGTGTCACTCAGTCAACTATTTCCACCCTGAAGTGTTGGTCACATTAAAGGACAAGGACACGAATAGACGCTTGTGAAGGGTTGTATGTTTTGGTAGAGAAAGCACTCTATTTTTCTTTTTTTTCCTTGGGTGAGAGGCAACATTTTTTTTTAGATCTCATATTTTTAATTTATGAGGTATTGTTTGTGTTCATTTTCTTCAACATTTCCAAAACCTCACAAATTTAGATGAACTTAAACTACTACAAAAGTGAAATATCATAGAATATTTTAAAACTAACTGCATTAGCTTTTTTTTTTTTTTTTTTTTTTTTGAGATAGAGTCTTGCTCTGTCACCAGGCTGGAGTGCAGTGTGCAGTGGCGCGATCTTGGCTTACTGCAATCTCTGCCTCCAGGGTTCAAGCGATTCCCCTGCCTCAGCCTCCTGAGTAGCTGGGACTACAGGCGCGCACCATCACGCCCGGCTACATTTTTGTGTTTTAGTAGAGATGGGCTTTCACCATGTTGGCCATGAGGGTCTTGAGCTCCTAACTTCGTGATCTGCCCGCCTCAGCCTCCCAAAGTGTTGGTATTACAGAGTGAGCCACTGCACCCAGCCAGCTTTTTTTTTTCTTTTTTCTTTTTTAAGTACATCATTAAAGGAAACAACATTAGAAGAACACAACAAAGCATTCATGAAGAAATTTAGTTAGGTATGCTTTAATAAATACATGATTCATTTTTTAAAAGCCTAAATCCTTTTATGTGCAAATAACCACTAATCACTATAAAAATATTTAAAGATCTAGTTCTCACAAGTAGGATTAATATGGCCTGTTATAATCTTAATATAATACATGTGCTTATTTATAGTAGATATTTGCTTAAACAGCTTCTTTTGCCATAGATGTTAAAGATATAAGCCTCAGCTCAATTCTGGTCTAATTATTAAGAACTTAAAAAGAATTATTATTCAAGTGATTGAGTTTTAAACTGTACTATGTTTATTTTAACTCCACTATTTGCATTACATGAACTATGAACTTGCATCAAGAAAATAGTGTATATGTCTAGAAACATTTTGAATGCTGGGGGAAGAATTTGACCAGCAAGACATCCTGTTGTCTAAACAGTATGAGGGCCTGTTTGCTTCATGGTGAGATCTGCTTTCCTAACAGATTCTGAAGGTGGAGAACAGAAGGAGATGAAGGACTCTTGTCCTGCAGTGTAAGCAGATAATAGCACTTCAGCTGCTTCTCTACACAGGCAGGAGGTTGGACTTAGCAATTTTGTTAGAGACTTCTTAGTTCTTAATATCTGTATCATTAGTTGACAGATGGATTTCTGTCTGGAATCTTATTTCAAGAAAGCTGCCTCCTGCTAGATAATCTTCTTAAACTGTAATTGACAAATGGAATGAATTTCATTTTCCTAAATTTTGGATGAATATACTAAAATGTTATCCATGCCTTCAATCTGTGGAGCCCATTCTTTTAATAAATATTTATTGAGCATTTACTATGTGCCAAAAATTCTGCTGGGAACTAGGATACAGTGGAGAATAAGAAGGATACTATCCTTATTCTTCAGTGATAGCAACAAACAAGGATTTGAGTGCAAATACTCTTATAATTTTTTTGTGTATTTATCAAAAGTCTGTTCTTGTTCTCTTTACCATTTTGGGTGAAAAAAGGAGAGATTTTTCTAGGATGTAGTAACTTTTTTCTCTCTCTATAAAAAGTACAGTCAACCTCTCCAGTTAATTTTTTCAGACCACAGCTTCTCAACTTGGGATAGTCACAACTGAGGTCAGACAGAAATTCTCTTTGAATGGTGAAGGCCAGTTATTACAGATAAGTCTAATAAACCACAGTCCAACTTCTCAGCCCAGACTTTGGGACTTTATGGCTGATGGTAAGAGAACCTATCTTTACATTGTTCTCCTACAGAAACCCTGCCTGAGTCTCCTCACTGCTGGCCTGGCCTGCAGATTTCAGACTCTAGACCACAACATCTACTCTTATTGAATTGCTAGCCTACCAGACTGCTCTGCAGATTTTGGACTGGCCAGCCCCCAGAATTTCATGAGACAATTCCTTAAAACAAATATACGTGTCTCTCTTTACTTTTTGCTTGTTCGTTTGTTTTGTTTTGTTTTTTGAGACAGAGTCTCGCTCTGTCGCCCAGGCTGGAGTGCAGTGGCGCAATCTCGGCTCACTGCAAGCTCCGCCTCCTGGGTTCATACCATTCTCCTGCCTCAGCCTCCCGGGTAGCTGGGACTGCAGGCGCCCGCCACTGAGCCTGGCTAATTTTTAATATTTTTAGTAGAGATGGGGTTTCATTGTCGTCTTGATCTCCTGACCTCGTGATCTGCCCGCCTCGGCCTCCCAAAGTGCTGGGATTACAGGCGTGAGCCACCACACCTGGGCTCTTTTGCTTTCTAAATATATGTATATGATATATATGAGCATATATGTATATGTTCTATATGTATGTATGATATATATACATAAAAAACTAGATATGATTAGTTTCATTTCTGCAGAGAACTCTAATACAGGCAATCTGAAAAGGATCAGATATTTAGTGTATTGGACTGGAAATATTCAACGTCCTAATAGATTACATATATTTTGCTGAATTCCACCTAGAATCCACGAGAACATACTGCCAAAACCCTTCGTCTGGTGTGGAAAGCATGAAGGACACTGCCCTCAGCCCAAGGCCTCTGCTTAAAAAGTTTGAAAGCATTGTCTGCCTGCCTCCATCTCCTGAGTCCTGTCCTGTGGACCAGAAAAAGGTGATGCTCACACCCTTATGCCATCTCGTGCTGTCTTTGTTCCATCAGCAACCGCGTGTGGCTGTCTGTGGTAAGTAATCGAACAACTGCTCAGGGAAGTACGTGCGCTAATGGTGCATGGCAGCATTACAAACACTGTCTGTTTAAGTTAGACCTGAATTGTCCTCTGATTTAAAGATTCCACTGTGATTATCAGAGCCCTGGGGATGATGCTGGCCAGAAAGAATGTGCATGGCTATTATTGTGCCAATTTTATAATTCGTCTTTTAATAATCTGTAACTGAAGAGCTGAATGGAATTGATCAAACCCGGCCTTGTTTCTCACTGGGGAGCTTTCTGTGTTTTGTTACTGAGCCAAGCCTGAATGCAGCTGTTGGAGCTGTCACCAGCATTCTGGTTCACCCAAATATTGATAATAATTACTCCTGCTTCACATGGAAAGCATTTATTTAAATATCTGTAATGGAAAGACCGTTATTATAGGTATTGCAGCTTTATAGTGGGTACATCAAAATGTAGATATGACATTCATAAACTGTGTTTGCAAAAAGCTGTATCTGTCTCCTGCACAGTACACAGGACCCTGGGCTAGTATTGCTGCTCATCTGTTCTTCATAGAATTAGGGAGAAGTTATTACTAGAGAATAATTAAACCCACAGAAATGTCCAAATGTTGGCAGGCTGCAGCCATCCCCAGCAGCACACAACAGCCTGTTATGATCAGCAAAATCCAATAGCCGGAGCTTTGAGCCTGAGGGGGGTAAATAGCATAATGAATTTTCTTTACCCTGTCATTACTCCTCTCTTGGCTTTCCTGGATTACAGTCACAAGCAGGTCACAGAACATTTATGCACACTTCACGCAAAGTGTTTTGGAGTGGAGGCTGGGTCTCAGTCTAACTGGTGGTGATCTATGTATCATTGAGAGGAATGAAAAGCTGCTTCTGCGCCTTGCCAGCTCTATCACTGGGAAGCCCTATACTAGCACAAGCCCATTGTCCCATATTTCCTCCTTAGGTTTTCCCTTTTCTGTTCTCCTTGCCTTCCCCTGTTTGCTTGCTCTGGTGGTCTTCTGTCTCCTGAATCAAAATCTCTTTGTTCTTTATCACGTGAGACATGTTTCTTGCTCTAATTAAGATGCTTTTATTTCATAGATAATGTCAGATCACCTCCAAGGGAATGTTTGAGTAGCCGCCTACTGTAGTGAGGGCCTCAGCTGAGGCTTGCTTGTATTCACAGCAATGAGTTGCCCTGCCTATTTGCAGAGGCTAAGGAGAGCTTGTGAGAAATATCCCTAGGGAGCAAGGCCTTTTCTATCAAAGCCTTACTTGTCAGAGGGAAAGAGAAAGACTGAGTCTAGCCCTAGGGCTGTTAGGAGACTTGAATCATAGCTTAGCCCCTGGAAGCATGTTTGGGCCTGGAGGAGAGAGAGCTGCAAGTAAAAATTGTGCCATTATGCTCTGTGACGAATTAGGGCTCGGTGACATACTGTTTAGGGACTCATCCAGCAGAGTGTGACACAGATGCGGTGAGCCCCTCCCCCGCAGGAGAACCGCAGTGCCTGGAGCAACTGGGGGCCACAGCACTCTGCCCAGTCTGCCAGGGGGCCACCAGCAGAGGCTGCTATGCCTCCGGAACTGCAGAGCTCAGCCAAACAGGATGGCAGTCCCTTTAGCAGTCCGAGTTCCACTGGAATATTCCTGAATTAATGGACAATATACCTTTGCCCTTGTCTGACACATGTGGTCCATCTCAGATACTTAGTTCCTTCCTCCATGTATTGTGAGTCCCTGGCTGGGAGGGCTGAGCTAATTTCCTTAAGCAGGGCTTCTGTATTTCCCAGGTGAACGCTGCATCCTGATCTTAGCTTAAAGCAGGAATAACAGTAGTTTTGCCTTATAACACACCTGAAGTCTAAAATTGGACCAGCTTTCCAATAGCCTGTTGGCTAATAAAAACGTTTGTTTTTGGTGGGGCGCAGTGGCTCACGCCTGTAATCTCAGCAGTTTGGGAGACTGAGGTGGGCAGATCACGAGGTCAGGAGATCTAGACTATCCTGGTCAATATGGTGAAACCCTGTCTCTACTAAAATACAAAAAATTAGCCGGGCATGGTGGTGGCATGTGCCTGTAGTCCCTGCTACTCAGAAGGCTGAGGCAGGGGAATTGCTTGAACCTGGGAGGCAGAGGTTGTAAGGAGCCAAGATCGCACCACTGCGCTCCAGCCTGGGCGACAGAGCAAGACTGCGTCTCGGAAACAAACAAACAAACAAACAAACAAACAAAAAACCGGTTTATTTTCAAGGAATAGCTTTTGGGACTTAACATTTCTTCAGTAGATTCCCTGGGAAGAAAACCTGAAGGAAAATTTAGGAGACATTAATGTCCTTACGACAGAAAAACACTGGGTAAAGAATGTTATGCTTAGCCAAGTCAGCCATTTGAGACAAAACTCCTCTTGTTTAAATTGCAAACTATCTATTTTGGCCAATGAATGTAGTCTTAAAGCATATCCTTAATTTCAGAAGCCTTTGTTACAAGAAAGCCAAATAATTGGGGTTTACAGTTTCAGAGCACTTTTCCTGTTTAAAAATGGCTTGGGGTTCAGAAGATGAATCATGTAATTTTGTAAGAATTCCTTATAATGTAGTATGAAATTATGCTCACATGCTCTGAAGTGTTTTTAAATAGCTCTGGCCACATCTTGGATATTCACTGTCTGAGAATGTATAATTTAAGAAATCGTAACAAGATGGCAGAATTTTGTTCTAAAGGATTTTCAAGGCATTGATCTCCACTCACTTCAATGTTGTTTAAGTGCTTTCCTAAGACAGCTCTCGACTCCTGCTACCTTCACCTCCAAATCACAATTTTCAGAACTTTCAGGACGGGTTCTGCCAACTTGGGATGGTAGTCTGTAGCATTGTAAAGAAGGAGTTGATTCACTGAATTCTTTCCTCTTATTCAATGCCATGAATTTAGGGCCTGCTTTCTGTTCAATACTTGTTCTCAGCTTGCTGTCAGTTCCCTGCTAAGTGATTACTATGACCTTAGCTTAAGGCAGGTGGACTGATCCACCTTTCAAAAAATTTCACAAAATTTGGTGTATTTCTGGCGGGTAGAAATATTTTAGGAGGGTTTTTAAATCAGAATCTTAAAGAGGTTTGTAACATTAAGAAGTGTAGAAACCAAGGGATTAAGGAATGTGCTGATTGGGCAGACATCCAGAGGACTCTAGGCTAAAGAGAAATAATGGTGAAATAAATGGTGATGTGAAGGATAATTTGAGGCCTGGGAATGTTGATCAACACCCTTTAAATTCCACTATCTACAAGGCTGATTTTGTTTGTGAGGTTTCCAAGCGGCTAACAAATCTTTCTCTTTCATATGAATTAGAGCTTTGGGTTTCTTAATTCATGTTTTGCTCGTAGGTATACTTCTTTTACAGGAGCTGTTTCAGTTCAGAGAAGTTGTATGCAAATTAATATGTGATAAATTGAGTACTGCTTTAACTCCTTGAGATTAGCAGATTTTTAAAGAACTTTTTTTTTTTTTTTTTTTTTTGTGAAACCTTTGTAAAGTGAAGTGTGACCAAATAATTCGTTTACTTGGAAAATCCAAATTTTTTATGTATCAACTCTACTTAAAATGGGGAGATCTTTCATTGTGCAGTCTGCACTGAGCTAGAGCTTTTATCTGTGAAGTCAACTGGGGAGTCAGATTCCCTGTCCCATCCCACGCTGCTGCTGCTTCTGAATATGGTACTTATTTTCTACTTGGACATTGATTACAGTAGAACCACGTGTCTATAGAATTAATTTATAAAAAGAGAAACCTGTTCAAAAAGGAAATTATTGGAGAATTAGAATTGCTAGATTTTTGTTTTTATTTTTTGAGGAGGAAAGAATAAAAATGCCCACAATTCTCAGGGAACAAGATAGGTCTCTTAGTGGCATTGTAATTTTAATATTTTTCATTTCTTTATGGAAGACATCAACATTTAGAAACAGAAGTCTCATGATATTCAACATGTTCTTTAATTTTTAAAGTTGATTTGAAAAAATACATATATGCGTTTCTGGATTATATTTGCATACATAAATATTTATGTACTCTGTTCCGCTTTTTCTTTTGTCACTGTTGTTTATCCTCACAGAGCATTGCAGGCACCAGCCTTCATGTGGGCCAGACTGCGGCAAGGGTGGGGACAGCACCATGGACTGGAGAAAGAGTGTAAATGACAACCCGAGTGTGCACAGTCCATCCCATGCTGTTGGCTGTGTGGATTTGGGTGGGTTTGCCTTGGATGCGGGGATGGGGGTGGAGGAGGGTGAGAGTGAGTCCCAGAATCAGCACAGCACAAATTATATGTGGATATAGAAATATTTGGGTACTCTGGTCCACTTTTTCTTTTGTCACCATTGTTTATCCCCACAGAGCATTGCAGGCACCAGCCTTCATGTGGGCCAGGCTGCAGCAAGAGTAGGGACAGCACCCTGGGCTGGAGAAAGAGTGTAAATGACAGCCCAAGTGTGCGCAGTCCATCCGGTGCTGTTGGCTGTGTGGGTTTGGGTGGGTTTGCCTTGGACACAGGGATAGGGGAGTGGAGGGTGAGAGCAAACCCCAGAATCATCACAGCATGTCACTGGAGCAATAAAATGGGGAAAGGATGGAAAGAGCTAAATTAAAGAAAATAAAGGACAAAATATGTGAGGGACAATCACAAAGTATAAAGGGGAGGAAGGCATAGGCACTAAAGTGGAAGGAGTGAGATGATAAGTCAGAAATACTATAGTTGGTACCCCTCATCTGTGGTCGCTTCCATTTCATCATCAGAGGAGGCTGGGGTAAGGTGTGGTGGGGCAGAGAAACAGGCTCAGGCTGAAAAAGGGATGAGAGCAATACAGGGGAAGAGAGGAAGTAAGGGGAGTAGAAAGTACTGTAAATGAGGGCAAAAGGTAGGGTCTGAAGGGAGGGGCTGGCCTCTGTTTGGAGCATTAGGAATAGGAAGGATTCATGTAAGACTGAGAGTGGAGGGTTGGCCTCAGAAAAAGTAGTTTTCTAGAGTGTT